TGTTCCAATCGTCAACTTCCTTCTTCTTCAACAATTTTATCATGTTTGATTGGAGGTATTAGATAATACTTAAATTATTTATCCCATATATATGATGGAATAACATATCTTGAAATAACTTATCTCGAAATTAATCATCCCAAGATAACTAGTTTTCAACCAAACAACCTAAGAATAATAAATTTTTGATATTCTTATCCATCATAAAATTTATGTTGTAGTCGACCTTTCGAGTTTTTGAGATAAATAAGGATTTAATATTTTTTTTGTTTTCAAAAAGGTTATTAGAGTTTTTTTCCCACAAAGGAAAAGGGCCTGATATACCCTTCAATTTTGCTATTTAGAGTTGATATACATCTCGTTATAAAAATCACTTATATATACCCTTAATGTTATACAAATGACTCACATATATCCTCCTCTAATGGAAGTGAATAAAATAATTTCAATTTAGTTTTTATTTTTTTAAACAAAATATAATCCATATGTGGTATTTATCCTCCCCACACATATTTTTTTTTGACTTTTTTTTTTTGTTTCAACAACTAACTTAAATTTATTATTTTGATGGTAAAATTTATTTACGTTTCACTAATTTTCTTGTAAAATTTATCATAGATGCCATATTTTTTTTAATAAATACAAAAACTTAATTATTGTATAGCCCCAAAATAGTTTTAAATTATGATATAGTCACAAAAAATAACTTAATTTTTTTTTCTTTACATTAAAGAATGAAAGAAAAAAATAAAATAAAATAAGAAACTCAAATAATGATAGTCAAAGATGTCAAAAAACAATTTATGTATGAAAAAGATTAAAATATACCTTGACCTTTGCTAGACGGATCATATATACCCCTACATGACTTTTTATTTATTTATTAAAAGTCAAAAATATAAATTTAAAATTAATTTTTTCAGTTCCGCTAGATAATTGGTATATGTGAGCTCCTTTTGTAACAATAGGAGTATATGTTGATCATTTGCATAACAATAAAAATATATATTGCGCGTTATTTTTATAATGAGTAATATATCAAATCTAAATAACAAAATTGAAAAATATATATAAGACCTTTTTTGCTTTTCACAATTATGGCCATTGTGTGACCAAATTTTTGTTGTCAGTTAGCATTACATTGTTTACATGAAACATCACCTCAAACCTCCATCATTCTCCACTCATCATCAATGGTACAAAACCCATCTCCAGTCTCTCACTTCTTCCACCCAAAACTCTCTTCTCTATACTTACAGCTGCCTCTATGTTGTGCAAATTTGATGATTTGTGAATTATTACTTATATTTGTTATTAATGTGAGCTTTAATTAGGTAATTGTAGTAATTATTATGTTTAAATAAATCTAAGAGAGTGCTTATGCGTTAATAAGTAAAAATGAATTTTTAATGTGATATACACTACCCACTCAACAATGACAATAAAAATTATAAGAATCATATAGTTCATATGTATTGACCTTGGTCAATATCAACCCAAAAGAATCATGTATTAATATTGTAGTTCGGCATCCTTCTGTTATATTTATTTGATAACTTGTGAATCATTGCTTATATTTATTATTAATATAACCTTTAATTAAGTAATGAATGTAGTAAAATAATTTTAAAGTGAAAGAATAATAATAATAATAAAAATAAATTGTACATAAAATAATTTTAAAGTGAAAGAATAATAATAATAAAAATTGTACATAAAATAATTTTAAAGTGAAAGAATAATAAAATAAATAAATAAAAAGAGATAATATATAATAAAATATTATTATTAAATAAAATTACAGATAACATACGTATTTAAAGTAAAAGAAAGTTTTTTTTTTAATAGAATAATAGTTGGTATATCTTATTAAAAGATTTGTATCATTTAATATTTTCAAAAAATATTAATTCTCTTTTAATCAAATGCATTAATAATTTTTTATTTTTGTTTAAAATATAGTAACAATAACTTCAAAAAAATATTTTATTTGTAATTTTACTTTGTCGTTTAATAATTATATTTTAATATATTTAATTATAGATAAATTTCATAAGATGTGCAAATATACAATTTTCTTAGTTCATGAAGTGTAATTGTTTTATTTTAAAATATAAATAATGTCTTTAAAATTGAGTTTTATTATAAAAGTGTTTAATGTGTTAATTATTTATATACGAAGAATATGAAATTAAATCTCATAAATAATTTTTTTTGTGATTTAAAAAAATGTTTTACATTAGTGAAGCTTTTGCGGAACCATAAACTAATTTTTTTTTTAATAAATAATTTCATTTTATTTTTGTATCATTTATTTTCACCACTTTTTTTAAAATTTTATTTTAATAAAAGATAATTTTATTATAAGAAGAAGAAGAAGAAGTAAATTGACAAAGAGAAAAAAAGATGAAGTAAGAATTTAAAAAGGAAATTATAGGGGTCGTTTGGTACAAAAATAATAATGCAGGGATTACTAATGCTGGATTAGTAATGCAGGGATTAATAGTGCAGTGATTAGTAATACATGGTTTAATTTTACCAAGTGTTTGGTTCATTGGTTCCTACCCCATTTTGGAATTGGGTTAAAACTTTATAAAAAACTTCTTTCCAATTATACCCTTGAATTATTAGTAATTAGGTTAAGATAAATAATTGCCGAACAATAATATTTTTTTATGGTCTTCTAACTAGTTATGAGAAGAACAATTTTTTTTGTCATGTTTGCCTTTTTTTTTCACTTAAATTATTTGAGGATAAATAATTGTCATCTTAGTAAATTTACTACTTACAAAATGTCAATTTTCAATTAAAAAAAAGATAAACTATCAATTTTTAAAATTGAAAAGACGTAAACAATAGTAAAAATAAATAAATCATCTACATTTACACATAAAAATTGTAAGTTATAATTTTAATATGTATGCAATTTTATAAATTGTTCAAATACAAATAATTAGAAACCACACAATATATATATATATATATATATATATATATATATAAAGAGAGAGAGAGAGAGAGAGAGAGAGAGTTAATGCTAAGCAACTCACATTTCAAATATTATATTAATTTGTGTTGGATTTATGTAGTAACAAACAATTTTCTCTAAATAATTTGTAAGCTAATTTATTTAAATAAATTTAATAGTACAAATATAAAACATAAAATTAAGAAAACAAATAAAATAATTAAAATGATTTGAGGGATATTTTTGTCCTTACATAGACTTATGCATGGCATTATATCCAATGTATTACTAATACCTCCAAATGGAACGTATTAGTAATACACCCTATAATACCATGTAGGAGGTATAACTAATCCATGGATTAGTTATACATAGAGATTAGTTATACCTAGACCCAAATTCCTACCAAATATAGTACTAAATAATACCACACATAATACATGGATTATTTATTTTAATGTGGCCTACCAAACGACCCCTAAATGCTTTAACAGGTGCCACCCAAAGAATTCACGTGGTTAAAATAAATGCATTCTAAAATTTAGTAATATTATTTCGAAAAGACTTTAACTTTGTTTTGAAAAAAAAAAAGGTACGTAATTTTCTGACAATTTAGCAGCTCTCAATAACATATTCTCTCTATTCAACAATAGTTATTAATTATTGATTTGACACAAAAATTAAGGAGTAAATGAAATTTACCAAATTACTATATAAAATTCATCTAAATATTGAAAAAATGAATAATATTTAATACTCCCTCCGTCTTATTTTATATGTCACCTTTTTAATTTGCACTTGCATTAAGAAATGATGTAATTTTACCCTTCTACCCTTATTTAATGTTTTCTTAAGTCAACTTTATTAATAAATGATAAGATTAATTAACTATGCTATCAAGGGTATAATAGGCAAAATATGGTAATTTATGCATAGATTTTATAAAATGACAAGTATTATGGTTCAACTATTTATAGAAAGAAATGACATATAAAATGGGACGGAGGGAGTAGTAAAGATAAAATTGACATAAAATTATAAATTAACTAGACAAATATTATTACACATTCCAAAATAATACTTAGGGGTTGTTTGGTTTGAATACAAGTTATGATGAGATTAGTTATGCTGGGATTAATAATGCTGGGATAAGTTATGCTGGGATTAGTTATGCTGAGATTGTTTTTTATTGATTGTTTGGTTTGTTGTATTAAAACTAATATGCATGACATACTTTTTAAGAATAAGTTGTTTGTTTACAAAAATACCCTTCATCTTATTTAGGCTTTTTATATGTATTTTTTATGGAGCTTTATTTATTCACTTTTAAAAATAAATTACGTGAATGTCGTTTAAATTTGTATTTCATATGAATTGAAATAGGCCTATGGGATGCCTCACCTCTTCACTATCATAAGTAAAATATTAATTAAAAACAAATCAATCATAATTTGAAGTAAAAACTGCATCAAAATAACCAAAAATATTGGATCAAAACTCCAAAAATGCTTCAAGAAAACAGCAATAAAGTGACCAAAATACACCAAACCAGCTGCAAAAACTGCACTAAAACAGAACAAATTTTGCATAAAAATAACCACAAAAATTGAACCAAATCTGAATTCAGACAGCAGAAAAAAATCCACCAAATCAGTAGCAAAAACCGCATTAAAACGTCTATTAAGACTTGAAAAAAAAAAATAACAGCAAAAACTCCAAAAATTTGGTCAAAATTGCGCTAAAACACCTGCCAAAACTAGAGCAAGCAGCTATACTTATACAAAATTGATACTTAAAAGGACTTGAAGGATATTTTTGTCATTTCAATTGTTTTACTTCGGGATAAGTTGTCTTGGTATTATTATTCCACCAAGAAGGAAGGATAATTTATCCCAATACTATTTGCTAATCTTGGGATAAGTTATCCCATACTTTGTAACCAAACAAGAAATAAAAAGGAACTAACAAATTATCCCATGACTATTTTTTTTTTATCCATCACATCAAACGATCCCTTAGTGAACAAATAAAGATGGACGAACGGAGTATATAAACTCATAAAACTTTAACTTAGTGGTCCAACTAGTGCTTACACCACTTCCCAAAGGAACCAATAACTGCCAAATCTATTTTGGTTTTGACCAAACAAACTAATGAACAAATATATTTAGCTCTTTTCTCTCTTTCACACACAGCACCGCTACTACTTCTTCTTCTTCATTCTTTCTACTATTTTCTTTGTTTACTAAAAAAAAAATGGAAGCTGTAGTAATAATCTTGTTATCCACCATTAACATACTTCTCTTTCTCCACTCATCAACATCAACATCAGCAATTCCCATTTCCACCAAAAAAACCTACATTGTTCACATGAAACATCACCTCAAACCTCCATCATTCTCAGCTCATCATCAATGGTACAAAACCCATCTCCAATCTCTCACTTCTTCCACCCAAAACTCTCTTCTCTATACTTACACCACCGCTTATCATGGATTCGCAGCAAGTTTGGATTCTCATGAAGTTGAATTACTCCGTCAATCTGATTACGTTGTTAATATCTACGAAGACACTTTTTACACCCCACAAACAACGCGCACACCTGAATTTCTCGGCCTCGATAAGCTCGATTTTGGGGCTGGACGTACTTTACCAGATTTCAACACGGCTGCTCAGGATGTTATAATTGGGGTACTTGATACTGGAGTGTGGCCGGAATCGGAAAGTTTTAGTGATTTGGGTATGTCGAATGTGCCGTCGAGATGGAGAGGGAAGTGTCAATCGGCGCCGGATTTTGATCCGAAAGTGCATTGTAATAGGAAACTTATAGGTGCTCTGTATTTTTCTGAAGGTTGTAAGGGCTGCTCCCAGGAGATTCAATCGCCCCGGGACCATGACGGCCATGGCACACATACTGCGAGCACAGCGGCAGGTAGATGCGGATTCAGGATTTAAACTTGACGTATTTAATTAGATACGTGATAATTATTGAAAATTTAGTAGTTATTCTATTCCAATTTATGTGGCACAATTGAAGTTTCGAGATTTAAACTTCTAAATTTTGATAGTGAAATTGGAAATAGAAACTTTTAGGACCGATTTGGTACGAGGGAGAAGAGATAACTAATCATGGATTAATTTTAGGATGAACTTATCCCATGTTTGGTTGGGAATAAATCACGGGATAACTTGTAGATAACAATTTAGGAATAACTTGTTTCCCAACCAAACAAGCCTCAAGTTTTTTCGAAATAAAAATTTTATATTTGAAAACCATATAAAAAAAATACTATAAATTACAATAATTAACAATTCATAAGACACAAAAAATTTAGTTTTTTTTTTTCTTTCTGGTTTTAACTAATGTTTCAAAATTTAATGTGACTTGAAATTTCAAGGGAGCTACATAAATTGGGAAGGAGGGAGTAATTTTTTCACATATATATCTTAGTTTTGCGTAAAAAATATTGGATTCAGTTGAACTCGTATTATATGTAGGATCAATTGTGGCAAATGCTAGTCTTTTTGGCTACGCCAAAGGGACTGCTAGAGGGATGGCGCCACAAGCCCGCATAGCAAGTTATAAAGTGTGCTGGAATGAACTGTGTGCAGGGTCAGATATTCTTGCTGCATTCGACCGTGCTATTATGGATGGTGTAGATGTGTTGTCTGTGTCATTGTCTAATAATGAGAAGACTTATTATACTGACCCGATTGCTCTTGGTGCTTTTGCTGCTATGGAGAAAGGGATTGTTGTGTCGTGTTCAGCTGGGAATGATGGTCCTGTGGAATCAACAGTTGTGAACACGGCTCCATGGGTCATTACTGTTGGTGCTGCAACTCTTGATAGAGATTTTCCAGCTACTGTCACACTGGGTAATGGCCAAAAACTTCAAGGCGTGTCGTTGTATAGTGGAAAGGTAGAAATGGGAAATAAGTTGTTGAGCTTAGTTTACCAACAAGGGGGAAACTCCTCTTTGTGCTTTTGTGGTTCGCTTGATCCAAACATTGTTGGTGGAAAAGTAGTGCTATGTGATAGAGGGGGAAATGATAGAGTTGCGAAGGGACTAGTAGTGAAAGAAGCTAATGGGGTAGGAATGATATTAGCCAATACACCTGAGACGGGGGAGGAGTTACTCGCGGATAGCCACATATTACCTGCAGTGACTGTTGGAAGGAAGGTAGGGGATGTAATAAGAGAATATGTGAAAACAGAAAACAATCCAACGGTTGTTTTCAGCTTTGGCGGAACAGTGGTAAAAGTGAAACCATCTCCTGTTGTGGTTACATTTAGCTCAAGAGGGCCAAATGCAATTGTTCCCCAGATATTAAAGCCTGATGTTATTGGCCCTGGAGTGAACATCTTAGCAGCTTGGCCTCGAAATATTGGACCAACTTCACTTAATATCGACACACGAAGGACCTCATTCAACATTGTTTCTGGCACTTCCATGTCTTGCCCTCATGTTTCAGGAGTTGCTGCATTGGTAAAAGCTGTACATCCAGATTGGAGTCCAAGCGCGATCAAATCAGCAATCATGACAACCGCGTACACTCAAGATAACACCAACTCCTCGTTTCATGATTCTGCACTATACGGTACATTTTCTAATCCATTTGTTCATGGATCAGGCCATGTAAATCCCCAGAAAGCATTCTCCCCTGGACTTGTATACAATATCAGGATTCAGGATCATATCAAGTTCTTGTGCTCCTTGAACTACACCATAGATCAAATACAATCCATTGTAAAAAGACTCAATTTCACTTGTGCAAACAAGTTTGCTGATGCTGGGCAAATCAACTATCCTTCGTTCTCTGTCTTGTTTGAGATTAACTCAAAGCGAGTTGTTCGTTACACTCGAGAAGTGACCAATGTTGGAGCTGCAAGTTCAGTGTATGAAGTAGCCATTGATGCTCCTCCATCCGTTACGGTAACAGTGAAGCCAACAAAGCTTGTATTCAAGAAAGTAGGAGAGAAGCTTCACTACACAGTGACATTTGTGTCCAAGAAAGATGTCAAACCAGGAAATGCATTTGGTTGGATTTCATGGAACAATGCTAAACATGAAGTGAGGAGTCCAGTTGCATATTCCTGGATGACACCTCAACTAGATTTGGAAACATGAAGGAATGTATCCATAAATGACTTTATCTTATAGCTAGTGAAACAAAGGGGTTCGATAAAACACATGAAATTTAAATCTTCAATCCAACTTATTGTAAAAAAAATTGTATTAGAATTGGTGGGGTGCGCCAGGCCCATGCTGTAGTGCAACGCATGAGCGACGCACAAGAGCCCAGGTAGCAAGCTACCTTAATGGACTCTTCCCCTTAAAAAATTGAGTTAATATCGTGTGGATCGATGATCCACATATCAAATATTAAACTGATAAGAACAGATACTACACTTGATCTTAGCCAAAAGGCCGAGAAAGGTATGCTTAATCCAGCGTAAATGACTGGCTTTTGTGACAAAACACTTGCGTTCAAGTTCTGTTTGGATTCCGATGTGGGAAACTAACATATGGACATCTAACTTGGACTAAAAAATATGAGATGCACTTACATGATAAATGAATGTTAAAAATAAATAAAACTTCAAACAGTACTCTTTGTTAATATTTGCTCACATTTCATGCAAATTCTAGTCTAGCTCTTCTTTTTCTTAAGTGAACTTTTTTCTATTTTTTAGTCCTTAAAAATACTTATAATAGGCATTTGGACAAACAAGTTGTGAATACTATCAATTTTGTACCAATGTTACCAAATGAACAAACACAACCGGATTACATATCCAAATAAAACTTCAATTTCGTATCGTTATTTCATATGGCATGTCCAAATGAACCCTAAGATTGAAACAAAACTACCTTCAACCATCTCCACGACAGTTTACCACCACACTTCACATTTGATCACTGCTGCAACCTCCAACTAATATACTCCTTCCTTTTTATGTTAGTTGTCAACTTTTCTGTTTACACGGCCCTTAAGAACTCATAAAAATAATAAGGATAGTTTTACTAGTTTACCCCTTTAAAAAACTTTCTTGGAACTTGTTTACACTTTCAAAAAGAATTAATCATAAGTATACGACATGGTTGTTTACACATTCCTGCAATTCCACCTTCATTTGGTTTGTCATGTGGATGATGTTCATGTATTCAATCCTAGTGGGGAGTGTGCCTGATACTCTACGAATTCCTGCAGAATAAGGCATAAAAAGCGTAAAGTTTACTGAAAAATCATGTATGGTTTCATAACCACAAGTATCATTACACATTATCCTCTCAAGTCATGCAAAACTAAAAGGAAAATAGAAGCAATTCATGAGTCAAAAACTAAATCTTGATTGGAACATTTCTAGATGAAGCATAAGCTTACTGGTTCCTTCTTGGTTTGCCCTGTATTCACAGAGACCTCCTGCAAGATATTGAAGCAATCGTCATAGAAATTGTGTTTGCTCGGGTGGTGAAATGTGGAACAACATTATTCATTCAGTACATAATGATGGTACAAGTGCAGAAGAGTTTGTAAGCCTTGTCTGTGCTCCTTGCTTTGCTTCTGATCGCTATTATAACGGAGTTCATTTGCTAGAATATGAGTGGAAATTAGCTTTTCTCATCAACCTTTAGCTTTGATAAGTTTGATTACCGAAGGCAATTTACATTTCATTCTTTATGATGCCATTACTTGAGATGTTTAGTCCTTGCAACAGAGCAGATCTGCTAAAATTTTCGAAGATACAGAAATTTCATGACATGTTCAAGACCACAATTCTTAAACTTCGCGCTCTGTCAAACTATGCCTCAAAAATTGAAATCAAAGGAGAATAAAAAATCATGCCAGGTTCTAGTACTTAGTTTAACGCCATTAGTTTTTCTAGTTTTATGGTGAAGGATTACCTCACCATTCAGGTCATTAAAAAATTCTGATATGAGTGGTATCTTTTGTAACTCTTCCTTTTCGATTCCTTTAAGATGCTGATTATATTATGTCACAAGACCATGATGTGAGCTGTCATTTAAAATCTCCTACAGTATCTGTAGAAAGTTGGAGAGAATTATTTTTCCATCTGTGTTAAGGAGCTGCAATAGTTGCTTGAAATGATGATGGCTGATTCAAACAACCTGAGAAAGTCTCTTACTTCTCATTGTGAAAGGAAGATCACACCTATTTCACCAAACAATTCCGGGGATTCCAATTTTGACCGGAACTGTTCAGCAGAAAGTAGAGACTTATAAGAATAAAAATTTTCTGAAAATTGTGTTTTTCACATAAGATTTTCCTACTATATATGATAAATCAGGGCCCAAACAATTCTCAATGTACAGTTTGGGTTTCAAACAATTTTGGTTAAGAATACAGGCTCTACATGAAAATCATTCCATCCTCACTAATATGTATTGTTTCCACCAGTTTTCTAGATCTTTAATCCAGAATTCATAAGTTAACTAAATGTAAACAGTTAATACAGATTACAGAGTAAGAAGAGAGCCTAAGTAGAAAGGCCCTAAATTTGTACTGGAATTGGTGGGGTGCGCCAGGCCCGTGCAATAGTGCAAAGCATGGGCGACACGCAAGAGCCCAGGTAGCAAGCTACCTTAATGGACTCTTCCCCTTAAAAAATTGAGTTAATATCGTGTGGATCGATGATCCACATATCAGATATTAAACTGATAAGAACAGATACTACACTTGATCTTAGCCAAAAGGCCGAGAAAGGTATGCTTATTTCAGCGTAAATGAATGGATTTTATGACAAAACACTTGCGTTCAAGTTCTGTTTGGCTTCCGATGTGGGATACTAACATATGGACATCCAACTTGGACTAAAAAATATGAGATGCACTTGCATGAAAAATGAAAGTTAAAAATAAATAAAACTTCAAATAGTACTAATATTTGCTCACATTATATGCAAATTCTAGTCTAGCTCTTTTTTTTCTTAAGTGAACTTTAAAAACCATCAATTTTTCATAAATCTTACCAAATGAACAAACAAAACTTATGGGGTTTTCATGTTTATGAAAAAAATACAACTTAAAGAAATCCAAATTGAATGTTCAAACAAGACTTCAACTTCATATTTTAATTTTAAATCATTATTTCATATCACATGTATAAACGAGCCCTAAGATTAAAACGAAACTATCTTCAACCATCTCCACAACAGTTTGCCACCACACTTCACATTTGGTCACTGTTGCAACCTCCAACTAATATACTCCCTCCATTTCATGTTAGTTGTCAACTTTTCTGTTTACACGTCCCTTAAAAAATCATAAAAATAATAAGGATAGTCTCGCTAGTTAATCTCTTAAAAAACTTTTGTTTACACTTTCAAAAAGAATGAATCGTAAGTGTACAACATGGTTGTTCAACCTTCAAGGAAATCAGGAGATTGTATGATATTTCCTATCATCTTGACTTCTTAAGCATTTGATGATTTTTTTTCAACTTATCAATACATGTCGTTGAGGATTTCCCCCTCAAACTATATACAAGTGATCATTTTCTTGCAAAGCACCCAAATCCTTCCATTGGGAGCCATCTGCCATGAGAAACATGCTTCCTCTTTTGCCAAACTTTTTTTCTGCATTCACCAAATCTAATTAGATACTCTTAACAGTAAAATCTATATATGTTCTTATTGCTTGACAATGAATTTAATTGATCCGTAGAAAGTATTCACAAAATATCAATACTTATGATATCATAATATTTGCTTACCTGCTGTTGTTAGGAGACCTTCAACTGACTCAGGTAGATGTATTAGTTTTCCAGCAATTCCGCCTTCATTTGGTTTGTCATGTGGATGATGTCCATGTATTATAATCCTAGTGGGAAATGTGCCTGACACTCTATGAATTCCTGCAGAATAAGTCACAAAATCCGTAAAATTTATGGAAAACTAAAAGGGAAATAGAAGCATTCTATGAGTCAAAGACTAAATCTTGATTGGAACAGTTTTAGATGAAGCATAATCTTACTGGTTCCTTCTTGTCTTAGTCCTTCATGATTTTGCTCCGTATTCACAAAGACCTCCTGCAAGATATTGAAGCAATCGTCATAGAAATTGTGTTTGCTCGGTGGTGATATGTGGAACACCATTATTCATTCAACACATAATGATGGTACAAGTGGAGAAGAGTTTGTAAGCCTTGACTGTGCTTCTTGCTTTGCTTCTGATCGCTATTATAACGGAATTCGTTTGCTAGAATATGAGAGGGGATTAGATTTTCTCATCAACCTTTAGCTTTTAAGTTTGATAACTGAAGGCAATTTACATTTCATTCTTTATGATTACTTGAGATCTTTAGTCCTTGCAGGAGAGCAGATTTGCTAAAATTTTCGAAGATACAAAAATCTCATGACATGTTTAAGACCACAATTCTTAAACTTCGTGCCTAGTCAAACTATGCCTCAAATATTGAAATCGAGGGAGAATAAAAAATCAATCCAGGTTTAAGTACTTACTCAGTTTAATGCCATAGGTTTTTCTAGCTTATGGCAAAGGATTACCTCACTATTCAGGTCACTGAGCAACTCTGATATGAGTGGTATCTCTTGTAGCTCTTCCTTTTCGATTCCTTTAAGATGCTGATTATATTATGTAACAAGACCATGGTGTTAGTATGATTATAGAAATAACTAATATGAGAGCTAATCTATGCGCGGCAATCTAAAATCTACTACAATACCTGTAGAAAATTGGAGAGGATTATTTTTCCATCTGTGTTAAAGAGCTGCAACAGTTGCTTGAAATGATGATGACTGATTCGAACAACCTGAGAAAGTCTCTTACTTCTCACTGTGAAAGGTTGAGGTGTATTAAAGATCACACCTATTTCTCCAAACAATTCCGGGGATTCCAATTTTGACAGGAACTGTTCAGCAGAAAGTAGAAACTTTAAAGGAAAGAACTCTCAGATAAATTGTGTTTTTTCACATTAGATTTTCATACGTTATATGATAAATCTTGGCTTAATTGACCTATGACTAGTATAATATAAGTAGACATAGTTGTTTGGTTCCATCTAACATCACTTTTCAGTTAAATTTATTGCTTGAAGATGCTATCTTTTACCAACAAATGGTTACGTCACGTAGATAATTTTCATATG